CGGGCTTTACCCCAGAACCCACTTTCACGCGCCCTCACTCGCAGTCTTTGAGGGTCAAAACGTTGGTTTTCCGAAAAACTTTGTAAATCACCGATGTCAAAAGGCCAATTTGGGCAAGTCTGATCAAATTCTTTCAAACTCAAACAAAAGGACAAATAAGGTCTAAGCTGCACCGTAGAGGTCCGAAAATCGTAGATAATTCAATCAACCTCGCGTCAACGGTCATCTTACAACAATCAATAGTCAACCACTGAAGCCTCCCCTAACTCATCAACATTGTGTGATCCTAAACCATGCTGAAATTCCAAATGATGAGCTTAGGGAACTGTCATGTGTGGCACCTGTTCATATTGCTCCACACACATGGTGGGTATGACGAGCTGTGAGCAATCAACCCTTGGACATTCTGAGAGGGCGTTTCAGTTTTCTCCTCCTGGCGCCTTTCACCGACAAAGCAAGGAATCTCTCAACGGATGCAACATTTCAGGGGGAGTGTTCAATGTTATCCTCCTCGGTGCCTAACAATGACTAAGCATACCGAGTGCTCTAGTTGAGGGGGAGTACAGAGAGACAATGAAGAAAGTAATGAGAGAACATGTCCCTATGGCTTAGTAAACCCAACTAAGCATACCCAAGGGACAAAGCCGAGCGTAAGTGAGTGAGTGAGTGACCAAGTGAGTGAGTGAATATTATGAGCATTAGGAAGCAGAAGGCTCAAGTGAGCAAGAAAACAATTATCACTAATAAGTCTGCTACCTCAACTGCCTACTATCCATTGAACATTTACTCATAGCCACTCAAATACTCTGGACTATCCCCATAGGTTCAGGACTGAATTTATTCAGATCCCGGGTAGAAGTCGCTGCATTTTGTCCAAACGGCGCATGCACAACCCTACCCAAGACCACTCACTTGTCTCTCAACAGACAAGTGTTTAATCACATTTCACGGGGAACCACATCTCTCATTACGGTCTCCTTCCTAGGCAAGTGATACTGACTACAGTGGCCTCAGCCCCATGCCACTGAACTTTCATTGATCACGTCGTGTCTAGTTACTCACTCCCAAATGTTTTGAAATTTTCTAGGACACAGACGCACTTTTTGAGTCAGTTGCAGGTCTACATGACCCACGAGAACTTTCATAGGGCTCATCTATCACAGATGTAGACCAATGATTGGAAGGAAGTCTTGTTGATGCAACATAAGAATCACCATCATTTTCAGGCCATCACATCAGAGTTTAACTCTATAGTGATGATAACGGGCATCTACATGACCCCGGGGGCTACGTTATCTTCTTTACATTCTGCTTGTTTTTCCTGTTTTATTTCCGCAGAATAAAAGAAGAAAGGCATGACGCCCCGAGTCATCGGATCGTCATGAGGGGGAGAGTGGTCCACATACCGTTAACTGTAAAAAAAATCATTCTGGGACATTTCTCTCCTCCAAAACTATCTCTACTATCTTCGCAACTCAAATGGTCAGCTACGCTCACAAGTCAACCATCATTATGTTCCGTTGTGCCACCGACAAGTTCTCTTCAAATGCATTCATTCCAAACAGTCAAAAAGACTACATTGTGGAGGGGACAAAGGTCAGATACTCAATCTGTTGAAGATGAATTCCATGGGCGTCTCCTATTCTCCAAAAAACATTCATTCTAGAGGCGTCACCGGAATTAATCCAAGGTGATCAAGAGCAACTTCTGGAAGGCAAGGACTACAAGCAAAAGATTCCTCAACCCCCAACATCAAATATCAAATTGCCAAGAAGACATCAAAGGGGAGATTGCAAGGATTTCTTCATAAAGCCTTCTCAAGAAGTCAAGTTCAAAGACAAAGAAAGCTGAATAACAACAAAGACAAAGATATCTGCGCTGCAATGCTGATTCAACACGATTGAACACCAAGGGGGAGATTGTTGGGAATATTTTATGGTGTCCAATCTAATTAAATATCTTTGTATTTGTGTAGTTATTAACTAAACGTGTAATACGAGCCACAAATGTGTATCAGCCCGTTAGCTTCCTTGTGACCCGTAAGTTAGCCAACTTCTCCTATAAAAAGAGGCTAACTTACGGGAACCCTAATAATCGAGAGAGGCTTTAGAGACGCAGAGGCGAGATAGAGAGAGAGTAGGGTTTCCGCTGATCTCCTTCTCCAGGGAGAGCAGCGGGGTTTCACACGGTATACCAGATTCGGTTTTAATCTTCTCGATATCTTTCTATCTGCTTATTCTTCTTGTTATGGTTGTTTGATTGTTAAATATTTGGGTTTAACAAATTAGATACATTTCTCTTGAACTTTGCAAGTCTCCCAAACACACAACCACTACGACCACAAACTTCTGCAATCCCCTACTCCCATATAGCTAGCTAACTACAAATCATTTCAGTTACACATTCCCTAATGGTACTTTCTATTTCTGGTCACAATGTTTACAAACACTACAACTTAATCTTTGCATACAACTGCTTCTTTTCCTCCCTCACTTTCCATAGTTCTCTTCTTGCAAAATTGAACTCGAAATGCAAATATAGATCCAAAAGATTTAGAATATAAAAAATTCATATCACTACATTAAACAAATCTAAACCGATTACTAATATAAGTACACCAAATACATACAAGATTCGGATACAAAGACCACAATACCCATGTTTAACGCATAATTACTTCAAGAAGTAAATTAAAGAACTTCGTGTTTGTATGTCTTAAAAACATTTCAAAGACTCATCACCCCATTTACGAATTAATATACATCACATATAACCAAATAAATTACAAAATCCTACATATGTACAACTAAAAAAAACTCGAGTTTATGATTTTTGAACAAATTAATCTATGTCTTCTAAATAAATAAAAAGATCAATTTAATCATTTAACTCATCATGTAAATCGAATAATGTATTACAATTAACCTATGTCTCTTAAATTATTGTTTAGGGTTTAGGGTTTAGGGTTTAGGGATTAGGGGTTAGGGATTACGGATTAGGGATTAAGGCTTAGGGCGTAGGGCGTAGGGTGTAGGGCGTAAGGCGTAGGGTGTAGGGCGTTAGGGCGTAGGGCATACGGCGTTAGGGATTAGGGCGTAAGGGCGTAAGGGCGTAGAGCATTAGGGCGTAGGGCGTAGGGCGTAAGACGTCTAAATTGTTGAAGCCTTTGAGAAGGAGCGGCATTAGGGACTCCACCGCGTCGTAGTAGCCCTTAGCTGAGCTATCAGAGGCCAGGTTGAGCAGAAACTTGTGGCCAAGCGTCCTACTCCTCAGGAGCTGCACCCCATGGTCCAGGCGACCCTTCCTCGGCTGCCGCCGCAGCTCTTCTTCAAAACACTCCCCAACGGTGCCCCGTGCGTAGCGCTGGGTTGCAAGCTCGAACCTAACCGACTTCGAGGAAGCCTTTGAGAAGGAGCGGATGGGGGTGTCCAACTCCCAGAGGCTGGGGGAATCATGTCTGCGCTAGCCCCCGCTTCAGCGACCATGGGGGGAGCAGGGGTAAAAGCAATACCTTGCTTCTTAGCGACAGAAAGCTTCCCAAGGGCCGCATCCAGAGCGGACTGAAGTTCCGCTACCCTCCGAGCGGCGGCCTCCCGTTCCAGCCGAGCGGCTTGCTGAGCTGCCCACAAAGCTTCATCAGCTTGATGCCTGGCTTCAAGGGCGTCCCGGTCCCTGGCAGTCTCAGAATGCAGAATGTACAACCTAGTATATGAAAGGGAGATGTAGGTTAAAATCAAGCTAGGAGCCAACGATGAACGCAAAGGAGATCAAAGAAGAAGGGCAATTACCCGGAAGCACGTCATCAATGCGTTATTGATGGCGGAAGGGGACGGGCGGGGGAGTAGCTCAACCCCCGAATGGAGGACAAATTCCCTCCAACACTCTATGGTCGGATGTCCGGGGGTAGGGGGTAGGCCGGTGTTATTAGCCACAGGGCTAGAAGCTGCAGTGCGGGGCCTTTTCCTTCTCTCCCTCTCGGTGGTAATACTTGTCAGTGAGGTGGAGCCATTCAAGTTAAATTAAAGGAGACTTCTGCGCTGCCTCCAACTTGACATCGTCATCGCCGACTCGCCGTTCGTTACTTGTCACTGCCGACGACCGAATTGCAACATGAGTGGCGAAGCTCGGAAAGAGAAAGGTCGAAGTTGTTGTTCTGCATGCATGTGTTGTCGTCGGCAGCCGCATCTGTCCAATCGGGTTGCTGTCGTCCGCTGGGTCTTCCACCCCGTCTAAAAAAATTAGGATTTTTTTGTAACTAGTATGTCATGTCGAATATAAAAATCTTATTATTATACTCCCTCCGTGCAACGGTCAATGTTTCACATTTTTCGAGGCAAAACTTTGATCATTAATATATATAATTCTATATTAGTAAAACAATTAGAAAAAAATAGATTCTGAAAATTTACAATGAGACAAATTTTATTATATATATTTCAAAATATATTAATACATTAATAAATAAAACATAATGAAAATAAAGCATCTGAATAACGTAAAATTCAATATGTTGCACTTATTTAAGGACAGAGGTAGTACAATCTAAAATTTATTTATAACATTAAATTTTGCCAAAGTAATAAATGTCAAATAATGTCTTATATAAGATGATCTGTCCAGCCGACGCCATTTGGGGCGGTTCCCGATGGAATTTTTTGATGATTTTTTTTGAGAATCTTATTCATCAAGTCTGGTTTAGTCATACCAAATTTAAACAAAAAAATCATTCGAGAAGACATTCAAATAAATTCTTGAAGATAACCGCGCTTTTAACTCCGCAGTTATTTTCAAGAATTCATTTGAATGCCTTCCCGATTGAATTTTTAGTTCAAATTTGATATGAGTAAACTAGATTTAATGAATAAGATGCTCAAAAAATTTCATAGCAAAATTTAATCGGGAACCACCCCAAATGGCGTCGGACGTACATAACATCCTATATATGATCTTATTTGACATTTTTTTGTAAGTTCGAGACCCTATCTGACCCTCGTCCCAATTTTGAACTAAAATTTAAAAGAGCCTTTTCAGGCTTACAAGAACCTACGAAGTAAGACTATGGGCGTTTACATCATAGGAAAGTTTGACTCAAACTTGCCACGTTGTTAGGCTGTTGCAAGTGTCTCCCGCTACATACATCATTCATACCTGCTAAACTCCATTCTCATTTCTTGATTTGTTGCAGAAACAAAATTCCATTCTCATTTCTTGATTTGTCACAGAAACAAAACCCCATTCTCATTTCTTGATTTGTCGCAGAAACAAAACTCCATTGCCATTTCTTGATTTGTCCCAGAAACAAAACCCAGACAACTGACAGAGCTCCATTGCCATTTCCTGCGGGTGAACCCAAGTTTCTTGATGTGGCCGGAGCTCGCCCTCAATACTTCGTATGGAGTCCTGGTATATGTTCCTGCTAATTTGATAATCTTGGTCGTATACCCTGTTCTAATTTGTATCTTTCTTGATGTCTGTGTTCTGAATGTGTTCTAATGCGCATGTTTCTTGATCGAATATCCTGTTCTAATTTGTATCTCTCTTGATGTCTGTGTTCTGAATGTGTTCTAATGCCATGTTTCTTGATCGAATACCCTGTTCTAATTTGTATCTCTCTTGATGTCGGTGTTCTGAATGTGTTCTAATGTGCATGTTTCTTGGTCGAATACCCTGTTCTAGTTCGTATCTTTCTTGATGTATGTGTTTCAGTATGTGTTGTACTTCAGATCTTTCTTGAATCTTGATTGAATACCATGTTTCTTGCTCCATAGCTTCTTTCTTGATGTCTGTGTTTCAGAACACATACCCTGCTCTAATTATTATCTTTCTTGATCGAATACCATGTTTCTTGCTCCACAGCTTTCTTTCTCGAATGAAATTCTTCTTGCTGGTTCGGTCATATGGCCATGGCAGGAAAAGCCATTCCTTTGCAAAGCTGGCAAACCGATGCCCTGAGTTCAAACGTAATAAACCTGACCTGTTTTCTATATATGGATTTCTTGACTGCTATCTGGCCGGCAATCTGTTTTATTTATGCGTACGTATTCTGCAGGATAGCTAGACACAATGCTTTCTTGATTATTATATGATTACCTCATTACTTGATTTCTTGATTTGTTGATTAATATATGATTTCTTGATTTCTTAATTACTACTTCGTATATGATTTCTTGATTACTATGTGATTTCTTGATTATTATGTGCATGCCACCCTCAACATGATGGTAGTTTACAAGGTTAAACTTGTATGACCTTCTATGTAGTGCTAGTAATTTTGATTGAAGAAGTGGCACAAGTTAACAAAATTGTCCAGCTATCTTCTTTTGGATTATATACTGTGGAAAAAACAGACTAAAAATTAATGCAAGCTTTTGTTTATATTTCTTTAATTATCTGTTCAGAATTAACAAATTAGTGTTTCTAAAACTTTGAATTTGCAATCTAGGGAGAACCAGGCCTTGCTCTTGCTCATCAGCTTATTGGAAGGGCATTGGGAATTCCTGGAGCTTCTATTCATTGGTATGACAAACCAGGTTGGTTGAGTTGATATTTTCTACTTTTCCTCCCTAAATGGCACTCATTATTTCACCATTTTTAGAAGGAAAGTTGAACTGAATGCTTGTCATGACTGTAGAAATGCGAAAACAAAGAAAGATGGGTCACATCACGTTTGTGGGGCCCTCGACGGGCATCGTGGAAGCAAGACTAAGATCTGCACTTGAAGAAAATGTCAAGGATGGCCTGTCTTATGGTCAGTTATTCTAGTTGTCATGCACCTTCTGTTCTACCAATCCTTGAATTTGGCTCTCTTGATAGTCAACCCTCTCTAGTAGGCTTTTCTTATATGGCTACTCAAAAGACTGCCAAAAAACCCACAAAAGGTGAACAAAAATGATCAAATTGAAATCAAACACAACTTACATGAGCAATTCAGTTTTGTTTAACCTGTCAAACTGAAAACAACATGAACTGATGAACACCCCTATTCTTATTTCTATCTATTTGATAACAGCTTACTAATATACATAACTATGCAGTTGCACCACGTGTCGGAATCATAATGGGGTCTGATTCAGATCTTCCTGTTATGAAGGGGGCTGCAAGATATACTTCAAGATTTTGATGTGCCCACAGAGGTGATCTTTCCATCAATCCATTACCTTGCATTATTTTAATTTCACCTCTCTGGTCAACCATCATATGTCCTAATGTCCATAATATGGCAATAAAAGTTCATGAGTTTTTGCAGGTAAGAATAGTGTCCGCACATAGGACTCCTGAGATGATGTATTCTTATGCTCTGTCTGCATTAGGATGTGGTATTCATGTAATAATTGCTGGTGCTGGGGGTGCGGCCTACTTGCCTGGTCAGTGTATTCATCCAGTAATGCTTAAACAAATTGCTAATAGCAGTGGTAATAGAAGCAAGTTTTGTCACCGACAATAAGGCATGTATTGATTTGGTTTTTGGATTGAACCCAGGCATGGTTGCTGCATTGACTCCATTGCCAGTCATCGGAGTTCCAGTACGAGCCTCTGCTCTCGATGGAATGGACTCTCTATTGTCCACGGTTCAGGTACTAACTTTTAAAGTTAAATTTGATCTCTCAATTCTAAGATGCGAAGTAGAATTTACAGGTGGAATGGGAAGTTTGTTCTTCAACTTACATGATATCCATTTATTCTTTCTCATCCTTCGCATTTTCGAAATATTTCTCACTTCAAGTAAACTACTTCTTCTGTCCCAAAAATAGAAGTGTATGGTTTTTCAAAATAAAGCAAATATTTTTGTCCTAACTCCTAAGTAATAACAAACGTTGAATAAAAACATAATCAAGAAAGGTCTAGTGTTGACATCTCGACTATCGGCCACAAAAACCTCAGAATTGTTTCCGGGCTTCTGGCTACTAATTCCCCAATTTACATCATGCGCTAACTACCAATTCTCGAGGTCAAGGGTTGTGGGAGCCTCAGGTTTGCGGATCAAGCATTTTAAAAGAATGATATTATCTAACCAAATGTTATTCTTCTGCGTAACTTCCAGTACAGTCGCATTTAATATTATATTGTATGTAGGTAATGTAGCTCCTTCGGGAAGATTTGAAACTTTTGAAAACAAAAAGAGGATTTTCAAGTCATAGTTGTCTGTTTATGCAGATGCCAAGAGGTATCCCAGTTGCAACCGTTGCTATAAAAAATGCAACAAATGCTGGTCTGCTAGCAGTGAGATTATTAGGGATCAGTGACATGAAACTGCAAGCAAGGTCAGCCTCCTTCTGTCCTTTCCAAAACCCTGCTGCTCCATTCTTTTTCTCCAGAAAATATGAACTTTTAGGCTATTTGTTAACCCATATAGTAGCAGGGAAAAGGAAGAAATATAAAAATGCCTAGGAAAATGAGTTTTTAAGGTTTTATTTTATACACGCCGTGGTTGGCCTTCCACTTGGTGATCCATCATTGAAAACATCTGCTATACACGCTTTCTTGATTACTCTTCCAGATATTCACCGTTTTCATGGTATACAAACCATTTTGATAAAATGACTAAATACTAAATCATTTTGAAAACTCCGCCCCCTTTCTTCATCTATCCATTTTCTTTTTCCCCAATCATCCGCACAATGCTAGTTACTGCCATCCCTGCCTTGACCTCTGAGTGATTGAAAACTGATTTTTTTATTGCACTATTATGTAGTTCCTTCATAACACCTTGCTTTGGTAAAACACCCTGGAATAATAATAAAACTCCTTCACCCATAAGAGTTTGATCGTGATCTTCAGCATCGATAACACACTTCCCCATCCATCTGCTATTAGTAAGTGTGTCACTCAAATGCCAATCCTCACGTCTTTTCCTGAGTATCTTGAGTTGATGAGCAGCAATTTCCATATGAAACCTGTAGTCAAAACATACCCCTCTATTCTGCACAGGGACACGAACTGCTGGCATTCTCCTCACATCTTCACCAATGATTATGGCCTCTAGGAAGCTTCCACGACTGAGATCATTGACACCCTTTTTCCATTCCATATCTCTTTTATGGAGTGCCTGGATCCTTTTACCAGCAATAGTCATCTGAGTTGGGTAGTGAAAACCTATCATTTCCTCTGGAACAGATAGACAAACTGCAGACCCCTAACCTCTTCCCCCAGAGATAATGACGTATGGTAATAGATTAAGATTGAGATCGTTGACAAGCAACAAATTCACGTCAGCCTCAACTTCAGTAACATATCCAACATACTCCTTAAAATTCCTAGTAATTCCTCCCCTCAATCCATTTAGATTATACATCATCGAAGTAAAGCCATCAATTCTGAGGCTATCCAAATTGTTCAGTGTTCTTCGAGTAATATGTGATGATTGGCAGTACATCTTATCCATCAAAACCTCCAATCCACGTCCAGTGAAACCTTCCCTGGTGTCTGATGAAAATCCTGTAGGTTGATTAATATCCTCTTCAGGGTCTGATTCTGTAACTGATGCTGCAACCGGCTTCAGTTCTGTGTTCATTGTCGTTGGTGTAGTCCCCTACGATTCCTTCCCTGATGAGACCAACTCGAAGGTTCTGGAAGCTGATCAATCTGGCGCAAGGTGAGAAACTCCAATCGACGATGAGCTGTGAAAGCCTGCTGGTGAGGAAACCTGCGAACTCAGCGAATCTGATAGGGAGGAAACTGGCGACTACGAACTGGAGAATATGCTAGCGTATGTGTCAGTTTGCCGCAAATCTGATGGATTAGGAGAAGTTGCTTCCGGAAACCCCTGAGAACTGGAATGATATGTGAACGTCGAACTCTGCGACCTATGAGAGGCTGTATGCGACGGGGCCGGTGAACTAAGGACATCTTCTCGCCCAGATGCTTGCGAACCGGGAAGAGCTGTTGGCGACGATGATGAAGTTCGCGATTGCGAAGAAGAAAATCGCGATTGCGAACTGCGAGAATTCCTTGACGATCGCGACTCCTGGTCCTCTGACTTCCGACTGCGTTGTTGGAAACACCGATTTATGTCCTCCTTCAGAACTTCCCAACTCTTTCCTCGCGTTCGAAATTCCCACCCTTGAAACCAGTAAAACGCATCATCCTCCATAGCCTCTGCTGCGACTTCAACTTTATTTTTCTCCCCAGTAGCCTTGAGACGGAAATATTCTTCCATCCTCACAATCCAACTGTCTGCATCATCCCCGTCAAACAACGGTAGTTCAACCTTTATTCTTGTACGGATATCTCTTCTACTGCTATAGCATCCCTTACTAGTGCTAGAGTGATCAGAATTACCTTCGGGCGCAGCTAGACTCTCAGATTCCTTTGTTCGTCGATGTTTAGAAGTGTGTGATCTTCCTCTGGTTTGAAACTGTTCATTTATCACCGCCAAGGATGCAGCGATGTTCTCCATCGCAGATTTCCTCTTCATGTTCGAACACTTCTCCAGGTTCGAGCGCACCTCCAGGTTCGAACCAAAGGCGTCCAGTTATGACCGTCGCGGTTCTCTGCTCTGCTCAGCGACAATCTTCGTTCGTTCGTATCTCAGCATCGCAAATCATAAACTCTCCTCTTCCGCGATAATTAAGACTCCAGAATCGAGTGCTCTGATACCATTGAGGTCAATACCACCAGAAGTTCACAGTGAAAAGGGTAAGAGAGATGATCGGAAAACTTTATTAGCTAACCGAACAGTTCACTCAGGGGCGAATTCGAGAGGCCCAATCTCCGAAGTTCTGACATCCAACAAAATAACAGCCTGCCTCAATTAGCTATTCCACCCTTCTATTTATAGCTATTATACACAGGGATATGCCAGATATTACTAATACCCCCCTCCCTTCTATTAATACTACTACAAGTACCTTTACCTTTACTATTATTATTATTATTTCTTATTAATAGCCTACTAAACCCAGATTCCTATCATCACTCTCCCATGGACAAGCCAAATTCCAGTCTTCCCCAATCTAGCAAACTAATTGGATTCTTGTATCTTTGGAATCACATTTATATATGTAGTGAGCTTTCAAACAAGTCTTATGTAGGAAGCAATGTCTAAAAGATATGCTCAAAATGTTTTCTTCAGAGTTGCTTGAGATGATCGAGCAAGCAATGCCAGGTTCGGAAGATATGCAAAAGATGTAATAAACTGGGGATGGAAAGGAAGCTGGGCTAAAAGATATGCACAAAATGTTTCCTTCAGGTCCATTTCCATATATAAACTGATGCTCTCTTTTCTATGTAATAAACTTGTCCTGTTTTCTATTAATTTCTTGATGACTAGCCAACACTCTGCAGTAGCTGCTGCAACTCCAAGAAAGAGAGCATATTGACTGGTTACTTGGTTAGCTCAGCGAATATGCAACAAACAGACCTGATGACCGGCAACAAATAAGGTATCTAATATATTCCTTATAAATAACTATAATAAGGAAATGAGTACTCGTTATTCATTACAACAGCCCTTACTATTTTATAGTGCTTACCGTGTATATGGATTAATAACGGCATTCCTTTATTAATGACATTGTCACAAAAATAATACTCCATAGTTTTATTCTTGGAGAACATTTCTTTTAAAAGCAAGTTGTCATAGACCTTTTCAACATATATGCTAAAAATACTACAAATAAGTCTTATGACAACTCTTAACAGATCATGTACAATTAATAACCGTTTCAATAAGCATATAAATCATAGTACCTCAATGTGAGTAGCATATGTTATCATCGGTTGCACACGCATCTTAAGAACAATTCTGCACAATTGATCATTCGAGTTAATAAAATACATCCTAACCATATCACTTGAAAAACACAAAAAATAGATGAAATTATTAATTAATTAGAGAAGAAGTCATTAAGTTCAATACAAAACTATGAACTTGAATTGCAATAGTAAATCCAAAAAATTTAGAGTATATAAAATTCAAATCACCGCTATAAATAAATCTGACCTCATTACTAATATTAGTCCTACAAACACATACACGATTCGAATGCCAAGACAACAATACCCTTGGTTAATGTTTAGTTGCTTTAAGAAGTAAATAAAAGGAACTTCGTACCCGGTGTTACATCTCAAATATCACTTGGAAAAAAATAGATGAAATTGTTAATTATTAACTAATTAGAGAATAAATAATTAAATTCAATGTGAAATTATGAAGTCGAAATGCAAATATATAGGGCGTATGGAGGTAGGGCGTAGGGAGGTAGGGCGTAGGGAGGTAGGCAGGTAGGGCGTAGGGGGTAGGGCATAGGGGGGTAGGGCGTAGGGAGGTAGGGCGTAGGGCGTAGGGAGGTAGGGCGTAGGGAGGTAGGGCGTAAGGAGGTAGGGCGTAGGGAGGTATGGAGGTAGGACGTAGGAAGGTAGGGCGTAGGGAGGTAGGGCGTAGGGAGGTAGGGCGTACCTCCCTACGCCCTACCTCCCTACCTCCCTACGCCCTACCTCCTTACGCCCTACCTCCCTACGCCCTACACCTTACCTCCCTACGCCCTACCTCCCTACGCCCTACCTCCCTACGCCCTACCTCCCTATTCCCTACCTCCCTACGCCCTACCTTCCTACGTCCTACCTCCCTACGCCCTACCCCCTACCCCCTACGCCCTACCCCCCTACGCCCTACCTCTGTACGCCCTACCTCCCTACACCCAACCTCCCTACCTCCCTACGCCCTACCTCCCTACTCCCTACCTCCCTACGCCTTATATATTTGCATTTCGACTTCATAATTTCACATTGAAATTAATTATATATTCTCTAATTAGTTAATAAATTAATAATTTCATCTATTTTTTTCCAAGTGATATTGGAGATGTAACACAGGGTACGAAGTTCCTTTTATTTACTTCTTAAAACAACTAAACATTAACCAAGGGTATTGTTGTCTTTGCATTCGAATTGTGTATGTGTTTGTAGGACTAATATTAGTAATGAGTTCAGATTTATTTATAGCGGTGATTTGAATTTTATATACTCTAAATTTTTTGGATTTACTATTGCAATTCAATTTCATAGTTTTTATTGAACTTAATGACTTCTTCTCTAATTAATTAATAATTTCATCTATTTTTTGTGTTTTTCAAGTGATATGGCTAGGATGTATTTTATTAACTCGAATGATCAATTGTGCAGAATTGTTCTTAAGATGCGTGTGCAACAGATGATAACATATGCTACTCACATTGAGGTACTATGATTTATATGCTTATTGAATCGGTTATTAATTGTACATGATCTGTTAAGAGTTGTCATAAGACTTATTTGTAGTATTTTCAGCATATATGTTGAAAAGGTCTATGACAACTTGCTTTTAAAAGAAATGTTCTCCAAGAATAAAACTATGGAGTATTATTTTGGTGACAATGTCATTAATAAAGGAATGCCGTTATTAATCCATATACACGGTAAACACTATAAAATAGTAAGGCTGTTATAATGAATAACGAGTACTCATTCCCTTATTATAGTTATTTATAAGGAATATATTAGATACCTTATTTATTGCCGGTCATCAGGTCTGTTTGTTGCATATTCGCTGAGCTAACCAAGTAACCAGTCAATATGCTCTCTTTCCTGGAGTTGCAGCAGCTACTGCAGAGTGTTGGGTAGTCATCAAGAAATTCATAGAAAAGGTCGTAGAGAGGTAGGGCGTAGTATTTTCAGCATATATGTTGAAAAGGTCTATGAAAACTTATTTGTAGTATTTTCAGCATATATAGGGCGTAGGGAGGTAGGGCGTAGGGAGGTAAGGTGTAGGGCGTAGGGAGGTAGGGTGTAAGGAGGTAGGGAGGTAGGGCGTAGGGAGGTAGGGGTAGGGAGGTAGGGTGTAGGGCGTAGGAGGTAAGGCGTAGGGAGGTAGGGCATAGAGAGGTAGGGCGTAGGGAGGTAAGGTGTAGGGCGTAGGGAGGTAGGGTGTAAGGTGGTAGGGCGTAGGGAGGTAGGGAGGTAGGGCGTAGGGAGGTAGGGGTAGGGAGGTAGGGTGTAGGGCGTAGGGAGGTAAGGCGTAGAGAGGTAGGGCGTAAGGAGGTAGGGTGTAGGGAGGTAGGGCGTAGGGAGGTAGGGTTTAGGGCGTATGGAGGTAGAGCGTAGGGAGGTAGGGCGTAGGGAGGTAGGGCGTAGGGAGGTAGGACGTAGGGAGGTAGGACGTAGGAAGGTAGGGCGTAGGGAGGTAGGGCGTAGGGAGGTAGGGCGTAAGGAAGTAGGGCGTAGGGAGGTAGCGCGTAGGGAGGTAGGGCGTAGGGAGGTAGAGCGTAGGGAGGTAGGGCGTATGGCGTAGGGAGAAAGGGCGTAGGGAGGTAGAGAGGTAGGGCGTAGGGCGTAGGGAGGTAGGGTGTAGGGAGGTATGGAGGTAGGGCGTAGGGAGGTAGGGCGTAGGGAGGTAGGGAGGTAGGGCATAGGGAGGTAGGTCGTAGGGAGGTAGGGCGTAGGGAGGTAGGGTGTAAAGAGGTAGGGCGTAGGGAGGTAGGGCGTTGGGAGGTAGGGCGTAGGTAGGTAGGTGGTGAGGTAGGGCGTAAGGAGATAGGGCGTAGGGAGGTAGGGCGTAAGGAGGTAGGGCGTAGGGAGGTAAGGCATAGGGAGGTAGGGCGTAGGGAGGTAGGGCATAGGGAGGTAGGGCGCACGGAGGTAAGGCATAGGGAGGTAGGGCATAGGGAGGTAGGGCGTAGGGCATAGGGAGGTAGGGCGTAGGGCGTAGGGAGGTAGGGCGTATGGCGTGAGGAGGTAGGGCGTAAGGGCGTAGGGCGTAGGGAGGTGGGGCGTAGGGAGGTGGGGCGTAGGGAGGTAGGGCATAAGGAGGTAGGTAGGGCGTAGGGAGGTAGGGCATAGGGTGTAGGGAGGTAGGGCGTAGGGAGGTAGGGCGTAGGGAGGTAGGGCGTAGGGGGGTAGGGCGTAGGGAGGTAAGGCGTAGGGAGGTAGGGCGTATGGAGGTAGGGCGTAGGGAGGTGAGGCGTAGGGCGTAGGGAGGTAGGGCGTAGGGAGGTAGGGCGTAGGGAGGTACGACGTAGGGAGGTAGGGCGTAGGGCGTAGGGAGTTAGGGCATAGGGCGTAGGGAGGTAGGGTGTAGGGAGGTAGGGCGTAGGGAGGTAGGGCGTAGGGAGGTAAGGCGTAGGGCGTAGGGAGTAGGGCGTAGGGAGGTAGGGCGTAGGGAGGTAGGGCGTAGGGCGTAGGGAGGTAGGGCGTAGGGAGGTAGGGCGTAGGGAGGTAGGGCGTAGGGACGTAGGGCGTAGGGAGGTAGGGCGTAGGGCGTAGGGCGTAGGGCGTAGGGAGGTAGGGCGAAGGGAGGTAGGGGGTACCTCCCTACGCCCTACCTCCCTACGCCCTACCTCCCTACGCCCTACTCCCTACGCTCGAAACCCGATACCCGAAACCCGAAACCCGAACCCCGAAACCCGAAACCCGAAACCCGAACCCCGAACCCCGAACCCCGAACCCCGAACCCCGAACCCCGAAACCCGAAACCCGAACCCCGAACCCCGAACCCCGAACCTCGAACCCCGAAACCCGAAACCCGAAACCCGAACCCCGAACCCCGAACCTCGAACCCCGAACCCGGAACCCCGAACCCCGAACCCCGAACCCCGAACCCCGAACCCCGAACCCCGAACCCCGAAGCCCGAACCCCGAACCCCGAACCCCGAACCCCGAACCCCGAACCCCGAATCCCGAATCCCAAAACCCGGATCCTGAATCCCGGAACCCGAATCCCAGATCCCGAACCCCGGATCCCGAACCACGGAACCCGAACCCCGAAACCCGGAACCCGAAACCCGAACCCCGAAACACGAAACCCGAAAACCGAAACCCGAAACCGGAACCCCGAAACCCGACCCCTGAAACTCGAAACCCGAACCCTGAAACCCGAACCTCGAAATCCGAAACCCGAACCTCGACACCCGAAACCCGAAACCCGAAACCCGAAACCCGAAAGTCGAAAGCCGAAAACAGAAACCTGAACCCCGAAACCCGAAAACCGAACCCTGAACCCCGACGCCCGACACCCGAAACCCAAAATCCGAAACTAGAAACCTGAAACCCGAAACCCGAAAGGTAGGGCGTATGGAGGTAGGGCGTAGGGAGGTATGGCGTAGGGAGGTAGGATGTAGGGCGTAGGGAGGTAGGGCGTAGGGAGGTAGGGCGTAGGGAGGTAGGGCGTAGGGAGGTAGGGCGTAGGGAGGTACGGCGTAGGGAGGTAAGGCGTAGG